GACTTGTGGGAACTTTTTATATTTTAACAAAGTTAGTTTTTAATCTGTGATATGTGATACAAATAGTTCCCCGTTTTCTCTTTGACTTTGTTTATGATGTATTTGCCAAGCAGATTTTTTTTAAAAAAAGACATATTAATACTTGAATTTATAAAAAAAATTAATTGGTTTTGTGGCTTCTTTAAAAATACCTTTCCAGTTCTAGAAGCAAACTCTACTGATAGTTTTATCTTGACAGGGGTCTTGAATGCACATGTGGGATATTTTTGTGAATTCTGTGTGTATATTGCAAGGTTTCTATCTCACTGCCCCCAGTATTTCCAAAACATTACAGAAAAATAAGCATGATTTTCAACAAAAGTAATAGTGTATTTCTTTTCTTTTCTTTTTTTGAGACGGAGTTTTGCTCTTGTGGCCCAGGTTGGAGTGCAATGGCAAGATCTCCGCTCCCCTCAGACTCCTGCTCCCAGGTTCAAGCCATTCTCCTGCCTCAGCCTCCCAAGTAGCTGGGATTACAGGCATGCCCTGCGCCACAATGGCCAGCTACTTCTGTATTTTTAGTAGAGACAAGGTTTCTCTATGTTGGTCAGGCTGGTCTCGAACTCCCAACCTCAGGTGATCCGCCCACCTTGGCCTCCCAAACTGCTGGGATTACAGGCATGAGCCACCGCACCCGGCATAATAATGTATTTCTAGGTTAACCCCAAGGAAATATAGATGATCCTCTAGGACAGTGGTCCCCAACCTTTTTGGCACCAGGGACCGGTTTCATGGAAGACAATTTTTTCACAAACTGGGTGGTGGGGGCGGGGATGGTTTTGGGATGAAACTGTTCCAACTTCGATCATCAGGCATTAGTTAGAATCTCATAAGGAGAAGGCAACCTAGATCCCTCGAGTGGTGGTTCACAATAGGGTTTGCGCTCCTGTGAGAATCTAATGCTGCTGACCTGACAGGAGGCGGAGCTCAGGCAGTATTGCTCACCTGTTGTCCCAACCGGTTCCTGACTTGCTACCACTAGTACTGGTCTGAGGCCTGGGGCTTGGGGACCCCTGCTCTAGGAAACTAAAGACGTATTCCTTGTGACCAGTCAAGTGACCTGAGTGAGATACAGATGTTCTCTCTGGACAGGTTTTGATTCCTTCTGGGTTCTTTGGGCATTTCTCAGATTGCTTTCATTATCTGTGCAGTTCAAATGTGTATCTCCATGTTGAAGTGGAGTTAGGTGAGTAGTTTGGGAGCAAGGACTGGCTGACAAGTGGCACCACTGTTGGCCTGGCATTGAGTGCAGCCCAGCATTCCTTCTAACCAACTTAAGTGTGGGCCAGACAATCCTGCTTATGGCTATTTCCTCAGGGCCAACCGTATTTTTCCTACTGAATGGCTACAACTTTTCTTATGTTGAAGAGTGACTAAGGCAGTCCTAGAATCTTTTCACTGTAATTTTTTCACAGTTGAGACATAATTCTTGCCACCAACTACTTTTTTTTTTTCTTTTGAGACAGGGTCTTGTTCTGTCACCCAGCCTGGAGTGCAGTGGTGTGATCATGGCTCACTATAGCCTCTTAACTCAAGGGATCCTCCCTCCTCCTCCTCTTGAGTAGCTGGAACTTTCTATAAAATATAATGAGGATTAGTGAAATATGGATCTTTCTAAAAAGCTTTGATCTCCCGCTCAGAGATACCCTGTAATGCAAATTGTCACTTGGAACATCACATAATTAATCCTACTATTTTTAATGAGAAATTAGAAGCAAATATAGTTTAAAATGAAACGTCTTTGGGAATTGTGTTGATGACCTCTCTGATGGATTTGTTGATAAGAGCCATCAATGTCTATCAATTGCTGCCATATTGGCAGTTTTCCTTTGGGCCGTATAGACTGGAATAAAAAGCAAATCTTATTACTAGTAATACAGTGATTGCCTTTGTCAAGACATTGAGGAAATAACCAAGATGACTCATTCCAGCTTTATTTTATTAATAGAGAAGAAAGAAAAATTTGTCTTGTCCTCATCCCAAATATAGCTTGAATTTCAGGTGAATCAGTAGTATTAGCAAGAAATTATGTAGTGTTAACTCAGTGGTTTGGCAGGCATTTGATCCTTACAGGGTTTGGGTTGCTTTCTAGTGTTTATTTAGATTGCTCTTCCACAATATGTTCATTATATTTCCACCTGTATCTTCACTATTATTCTACATTAGGTGAAAAGCTTCATAGCTTAGTAATTTATTTTTTCTCATGGAAATCAACTGAATAGGAAGAAAAGAAATTGGATCATTTATACTTGTCAGTGGTTGCATAATAATTAGCCGATATCTAGGGGCTATATATTCAGATTCCTGATTGTTTTAGGCTCTCTGCAGTATGTGCTTTGTCTATTTTAATGTTTTTGAACTTATTTTTTAACGTTTAAGTTCAGGGGTACATGTGCAGGTTTGTTATATAGGTAAACTTGTGTCAAGGGAGTTTGTTGTACAGATTATTTCGTCATCCAATTATTAAGCCTAGTACCCATTAGTTATTCTTCCTGATCCTCTTCCTCCTCTCACCCTCCACCCTCCAATAGGCCCCAGTGTCTGTTGCTCCCCTCTGTGCGTCCAGAAGTTCTCATCATTTAGCTCCGACTTATAAGTACGAACATGCAGTATTTGGTTTTCTGTTACTGTATTAGTTTGCTAAGGATAGTGACCTCCAGCTCCATCCATGTTCCTGCAAAGGACATGATATCATTCTTTTTTTCTGGCTGCATAGTGTTCCATGGTGTACATGTACCACATTTTCTTTATTCAGTCTATCATTGATGGATATTTAGGTTGATTCCATGTCTTCACTATTGTGAGTAGTGTTGCAGTGAACATATAGATGCATGTGTCTTTATGATAGAATGATTTATATTCCTTTGGGTTGGGTGATAGTTCTGTTTTCAGCTCTTTGAGGAATCACCACACTGTTTTCCACATGGTTGAACTAATTTACACTCCCATCAACTGTGTATAGCATTTATTTTTCTCCGCAACCTCTGTTTTCTCTGCCATCATCTGTTATTTTTTGACTTTTTAATGATAGCCATTCTCACTAGTGTGAGATGGTATCTCATTGTGTTTTTTTTTAACCACAACGAGAATTTTTTTTTAATGCTCTTTTGCCATCTTCTGTTTAATAATTTTCCAAACAGTTTGTTTTGTGAAAGGGCTAGAGCTCATAAAAACTTAATTTTTATTTAAAATTATTTGAAGTTCCAGACTTGCACATTTTAACTCTAGTAGAGCAAATAATTCCTATGGATATCAAAGGAAATTCCCTATGTGTATGCCCAGAAATGTCTCCGTTTGCAAAAGGAAAAATTCTTCAGTAAATCAGAAAACCTGTAGGACATTTTTGTCAAATATTTGAAGGTGGGGAAAAGGCATAAACAGTAGAATCAAACAAGTTTAAGTGATTCTGTTAATATTTATGACAATATTAAAGTATTTCAGTACACGTTTTGTCCCTTTGTCTTGCACATCTGCTCTTCCAAATGACAACTAATTAAAACACAGAATGTTTGTATTGTATGCTTTAATTTTCTTTGTCTGAAAGTGTCTTACAATAGGGTATAATGAGCATCATGAAAACTTTGATTAGCTAATACCCATCCTCACAGTTTCTTATTATTCTGACTATTGGATGAAATACTCTGCACACAGGTAGCCTTTTAAATCTCAGCACCAATGACATAGCTTGATCAGGGGTAGAAAACCAGTGATAAAACCAAATGGCCCATTATTACTCTTGCAAATTCCTAGTCTAACAATTGAGTTTCGCCAAGATGAGTTAAGCCTTCACGTGGGGATGGGATGGCCAAGTATGGCCCACCTAGGTCAGAGATGGCCAAGTTTGTTGCCTTTAGCAGCTGTCATTTATCTTCCATGTCAAATCAATCTTACATTAAGACTGATTCCACCTAGCACTTTACAGCCATTATTTCTGCTATAATACAGAAATGCCATGGCTAGAAATGAAGCATATTTCTGAGATGGGCACACGCAATAAAAAAGCGTGAGTGTGTTGGATGTGCATTAGCTATACCCATGTGGGGCTTTAAAGTGCGTGTTTTCTATATTGCTCTGGTACCTTTTTTTTCTTTTGCCTTATTTCTCAGGGGTTAATGAGTTGTTTTGGTAGCCCATGAAAACATCACATGGTTATTGTAGGCATGACCTAGATAATGGTGGTAATGTCGTTGAAGAGTGCTGTCTGTATCTCTTGCATGTAAATTGTTATTATTATTATTATTGAGATGGAGTTTCGCTCTTGTTGCCCAGGCTGGAGTGCAGTGGCGCGATCTTGGCTCACCGCAACGTCCACCTCCTGGGTTCAAGCAATTCTCCTGCCTCAGCCTCCCAAGTAGCTGGGATTACAGGCATGTGCCACCATGCCCAGCTAATTTTGTGTTTTAGTAGAGACGGGGTTTCTCCATGTTAGTCAGGCTGGTCTCGAACTCCCAACCTCAAGTGATCCACCCACCTTGGCCTCCCAAAGTGCTGGGATTACAGGCGTGAGCAGGTGGGCAGATCACAAGGTTAGAAGTTCGAGACCAGCCTGACCAACATGGTGAAACCCTGTCTCTACTAAAAACACAAAAATTAGCCCCTCATGGTGATGCTTACCTGTAATCCCAGCTACTCAAAAGGCTGAGGCAGGAGAATTGCTTGAACCCGGGAGGTGGAGGTTGCAGTGAGCTGAGACCACGCTGTTGCACTCCAGCCTGGGTGGCAGAGCGAGACTCCGTCTCAAAATACTACTACTAAAAATTACATGTTATTTTATATAAATCCCATTTAGAAATTGGGAACCAGAACTAGAAACCATTTTCTCAGGCCCAAAAGGAAATTATGTGGGAATCTGGTGGCTATTTTGTATTGTTTTCTACTTGTACCTTTATTTCTGTGGTGCGTGTAGTCTGGCTAGAGAAATCTGTTTCATTGGTTATCTCCATGTTTCTTTCTCTCCTCAGATGCAGACAGACATGCTGAACTATCCGGAAGTCCACTGAAAAGCAAAAGCACTAGGAAACCTTTGGCATGTATCATTGGGTATTTAGGTGGGTATTTTCTAATAGAGGAAAATTTCAAAGAGCAATTTCTGAATATTATAGGTATTTGGCCGTTCTAAATGACATACCTAAACTAATTCAGGCCCTTCAAATAGCTGGAATTGGATACCTTTATCTATATAGTCAGTTTATTTTGTTTCAGAAACTTTTATTACCAACACACACACACACAGAGTTATGGTATATGTTTACTTTTTCCAAAAAGCCATCAAATAAAAATGTAATGTATATTCATTCATAAATAAGTGAAAAAGAAAATAAAAAGCATTCAATTAGTACTTACGATGAATAGTCTTAAGATTCTTCTTCAGATCCTTCCCCTGTTTCTAACTCACCTCACCTCTTTTTAAATAGAGAATTTATTTACTTATTAAAATGAGATCAAACTGGTTTATAACTTAAAATAATTATTGGTTTTAATTTTTTATTTTATTTGTTTTTTGTAGAGACAGGGTCTCGCTATGTTGCCCAAGCTAGTCTCAAACTCCTGGCCTCAAGCAATCTTCCTGCCTTGACTTCCCAAAGTGCTGGGATTACAGATGTGAGCCACTGTGCCAAGCCTAAAATATTTATAGTTTGGTGTGCTTAAGGCGACTTTGAAGAGGAGGCATTTGTATTGCTTTCTGGTTTTTATCATGCCGTCTGACTTGGCAATCTCCAAAGATGATGGCTCCATTTTTATGTTGAAATATCACAATTAAGAATAGTATAAAAAATTACTATGCAATAATCTTTTTGTTTAAACAAAGTTTTAAGAGAACTTACAAAATAATGGTTTTCCACATACCTAGAAGCAAGAATGGCTTGTTTTTGTGCTGCTTATAGTTCTTTTTCAGTAAAGTGAAATATGTACTCAGAGTTGCTTTGACAGAAAGATTTATAATTAAGAAATGTTCAGACTGCAGACATCAACTCTTTTAAAAATCAGTTGAATTTGGTATATTATCTAGTCCTTACCCGAATGTTCCAGGAGTCAGAGGCTCAAAGCTTCTTCTTTGATATTACTCTACTATCTTATTTCTTGCTTTCTTTCTTTCCTTCTTTCTTTCTTTCTTTTTTTTTTTTTTTTTGAGACGGAATCTCACTCTGTTGCCCAGGCTGGAGTGCAGTGGTGCAATCTCGGTCACTGCAAGCTCCACCTCCTGGGTTCACACCATTCTGCTGCCTCAGCCTCCTGAATAGCTGGGACTACAGGCACCCACCACCACACCCAGCTAATTTTTGTATTTTTAGTAGAGACGAGGTTTCACCTTGTTAGGATGGTCTTGATCTCCTGACCTCATGATCCACCTGCCTCAGCCTCCCAATGTGCTGGGATTACAGGCATGAGCCACCGCACCCAGCCATTTCTTGCTTTATTTTTCAGGGGTTAAAGAGTTGTTTTGATATCCCCTGAAAATGTCACATGGTTATTGTAGGCATGACCTAGGTAATGGTGGTAATGTCCTTGAAGAGTGCTGTCTGTATTCCCTGGCAGAACTGACTCCTAGATGCCCCTTCCCACCTTGCATGGGAAAGTTTCTGATCACAAAAAAATAGAATAGGCCAGGCATGGTGGCTCATGCCTGTAATCTCAGCACTTTGAGAGGCAGGCAGATTGCTTGATTCCAAGAGTTTGAGCCTGGGCAACATAGCAAAACCCTGTCTCTACCAAAAATACAAATATTAGGCAGGCATGGTGGTGCATGCCTGTGGTCCCAACTACTCAGGAGGCTGAGGTGGGAGGATCAATCGCTTGAGCCCAGGAGGCAGAGGTTACAGTGAGTTGAGATTGTGCCACCACACTCCAGCCCAAGCGACCAGTTGAGACCCTGTCTCAAAAAAAAAAAAAAAACAAAAGAAAAAAGAATATAACATTATTAGCCTTTCCATGAATAATTGTGTGCTCCTACTGTGGGTAAATTGGTCTCTATATCTGCCAGATAGGCCCACACTGTGCTGTTCTTACTAGCTGAACCACATCCCTACACAATATATTTATGAGTATTTATATGTTGAAAACACTGTACTAAGTGATTTGGGAAACACCAAGATGGGTAAGACCTTGCCCTCAAAATTCTTAGTGTAGTGGGGAAAGCAAGCAGGTAAGAAGAATAAAACAAAGGATTAGATCCTATAAAAGAATTACAGGTAATATGTGTTGGGCACTTGGAGGAAGGACTGTTTTTTTCTTTTTTTCTTTTTTCTTTTTTTTTTTTTATTTGAGATAGAGTCTCACTCTGTCACCCAGGCTGAAGTACAATGTCTCCATCTCGGCTCACTGCAACGTCCACCTCTCAGGCTCAGGTGATCCTCCCACTTCAGCCTCCTGAATGACTGGGACTACAGGTGTGCACCACCACACCTCGCTAATTTTTAAAAATTTTTGTAGAGATGGGGTTTCACCATGTTGCTCAGGCTGGTCTCGAACCTCTGGACTCATGCAGTCTGCCTACCTTGGCCTCCCAAAGTACTGGGATTACCAGAGTGAGCCACTGCACCTGGCCAACCAGGGAATTTTTTCTAATGAGTGTTAGGGCAGCCTACCTGAAGAAAGTAATAGTTAATTTCAGACTTAAAAGATACTTAGAATTCAAATAGAAAAATAGGAAAAGGCCGGGCGCGGTGGCTCAAGCCTGTAATCCTAGCACTTTGGGAGGCCGAGACGGGCAGATCAGGAGGTCAGGAGATCGAGACCATCTATCTCGATGGTCTCGAGACGAGAAGAGATGGAAACCCCGTCTCTACTAAAAAATACAAAAAACTAGCTGGGCGATGTGGCGGGCGCCTGTAGTCCCAGCTACTCGGGAGGCTGAGGCAGGAGAATGGCGTGAACCCGGGAGGCGGAGCTTGCAGTGAGCTGAGATTGCGCCACTGCACTCCAGCCTGGGCGACAGAGCGAGACTCCGTCTCAAAAAAAAAAAAGAAAAGAAAAATAGGAAAAGCATATTCTCTTCCCTCATAAGGCCAAGAGAACCAGATGAACAAAGGTTTCAGTGAGTCCAAGGACTTGAAAGCAGCTTGTCTGGTGTGGATGGAGCATAGGCTGTGGAGGTTAAATGAAACGCAAGGCTGGCAAACTTGTCATGTCATGTTGGAGAAAAAAAAAATCACTTTTTTGGGTGGCAGTATTCAAGCCATTTCTAAATTTTGGCAAATGTGGGGACTTTGACCAGAGATGTAGTAAGTCTAACAATTCCAACGGCTTTTCCTAAATTCCAGTAAATAAGGGCGATATCTCAGCCCTTACCTTCAGTGAAAGGGTGAGAAGACAGGATGGCTTGTGTGTAGTTGGCCAGCTGCATGATGACTCTGAGAATCGGTGAGCTGGTTAAGCTTTAGAAAAAGGCTGCCCAGCTTTAGTAGTAAACTGAGGTTCTTAAATCCAGTTCCTACAGTGTTACGGTTTCTGTCCATCCACAATGAGAGCAAGTAGTTCTGGGCTGTATGGCTAACAACAATATACTTTTGTTAAATGTGCATATGCCAGTTTTGTGATATATCCTTAGATAAAGCATTTCATCTACCTCTTGACTATTGGACTTTGGTTTCAAGTTTCATCTATATCAAAATGTTCTAGGCTGCGAGTAATTGATCCTGGTCCCATACTCTGTCTGGTTACAGAGCCAGAGGAGGAATCCTGTTTTTCAGAAAGCTCACATACCTGACATGGTGACTGGTTTGACAGAGCACAGAGGTTTTTTACCCTCCTCGCCCCAAGGCTACCTCTCCAGATAGCCTTTTGATGTCTAATATCTTGAGGAGTCAGATGCCTTATTCCCTTAGTAAATCACATGTTGTATGTGACCTTCTGAAGTGGCTTTTTGTTTTGTTTTTGCTTGTATTCACAACCCGAGGCTCAGAGCTCCAGCCAGCAGGGGAAAAACCAGCTTACTTGATAAGCAAAGCCATGGCAACACCACTTGAAGCTGACTCATTATGCAAGTCCTTGGCTGGCTCAGGAGGAACTGACTCTCAGCTCATTAAGTAATAAGATGTGTGCCTATTAGCCAATGTAAGTGCGCATAGATTTTTAATATCATGTTCTGAATTGAGAAACCTTTTTCCCCCCACAGAGATCCATCCTGCAAAGAAACCTAATGTAATTCGATCTACACCAAGCCTGCAAACCCCAACTACCAAGCGGATGCTAACAACTCCAAATCACACATCTCTGAGCATTCTGGGGAAAAGAAACTATAGTCATCACAATGGTCTGGATGGTATGTAAGCCCAGGAATTCTGGAGGCTGTTCTGACAGAGTGCCTCCACACTCAGGCATGTGTCTGCCACATCCAAGAATATATTATAAACATGTTCTTGTGCTCCATGATTGAAGTATGTGGTTGAGGAATAAGGGGGAATATGACCATATGCCACATTTTGCCAAGGGATAGTTCTCCATCCCATCAGGAGGTACCTATTTGCTCCCATCTCCTGTTAGAAGGCGTTTTTGGAGATGAAATCTGTATTTAGCAGATTGCTTCTGCTGGGTAATAATGTTCTTGTTGTGATGCGTACTCACTGCTCATTTAAGTTTTCTTGAGCAGAAGGGATTATTTTGCCTTATGTCTGAGACATCAGTGTTCTCTGGGGGTTCTTCAGTGTTCCATGGGTCATTCTGAATTTGGCATTTGTCACTTCTTTTACCTTATAAATGTTTTTAATTGCTCAAGAGTGCTACATGTCATGAAAGGAATTGCCTGGGTGATGTCCTAAATACAGAAATAATAATTTGCTTGAAATGGAAAATAGAAATATCACCTCTTATCCAAAGTACTTCTCTTGGGCTTGGCCATATAATGACTCTCCAGGTGGAATTGAATTATCTTCCCATTTGGACTATAAACACAACCATAATAAATCATCCAGGCAGTATATATTGTTCATTTCAGTAGTTCTGGACTTTGAAACTGTCTTTATTGTTTAAATGTTGGCATTTATTTATGAATAAAACTCTCTCCAGGCTTTTCATGCCTCTGGAACTCTAAATTCCTTATGTGACAGTAAATTATTTATGAGGCCCCAGAGCAAGGATGTGGAATAAACCTTCTAATAATAATTTCCTATGGTTGTTTTTCTCCGTTTTGACTTTTGATGTTCATAATAATGTCAAAAATGTGTAAAACAGTGAGGGCGAGGAATTGAGTTTGCATTTATAGGTTATCAATGTGTTAAGATACGGTTTTCAATAATTTAACTACCCAGAAGTCTTACAGAAACACTTCCTTGCTAATGAGAACATTGGCCATCCTTGACACAATATGCCTGATGTCTAGACAGCGGAAGGAGTGTGTCAAAATGTGAAGATTGGATGTATTTCTTTTCAGCCTTTTCTTGCCCACAACCTTTAGATTCAGGCTTGAATGTAATCTAGAATCTCTCTTTTCCATTATACCACCTCCCTGGCCTTTCTAGGCATATAATCTTGCTATAGAAAGTATAAAGTAAGTCCTGAAACACACACACACACACACACACGTATATATTCTTTTCGGTAAAAAGACTGTCATTGTGGGCCAGGTCCGGTGGCTTATGTCTGTAATCCCAACACGTTGGGAGGCTGAGGCAGGAGGATCCTTTTTGTAGAGACAGGGTCTCTCTGTGTTGTCCAGGCTGGTCTCTACAAAAAGTTTAAAAATTATCTAGTGGCGCATGTCTGTAGTCCCAGCTACTAGGAGGATCGCTTGAGCCCAGGAGGTCGAGGCTACAGTGAGCTCTGATCATGCCACTGCACTCCAGCCAGGATGACAGAGACCCCATCACACAAACACACACATACACGCGCGCGCGCGCGCGCACACACACACACACACGACTGTCACTGTGACCGACGTTAGCATAGCAGGTTTCTGGTGTCTTCTTTCACTCACACTCTGTGGTCATTCTGGATCCCAGTCCTGGCCTGCAATACCTCTTCTGTTGCCCTTTCCTCAGTATCACACACCTGTTTTTCTGGAATTTATTTAAAATGTTACGTTGTAGTGTTCCCTCTCTAGGGCTGCTTTGTTTCATTTCCCTCTGAAAGAGTGCTGCCACAGAGTCATTACTTCTCTGCTCTGAACAGAATAGCAGGGCACACAATGAATCCTTGGTTTTTTGTAGACAGGGACCTTCAGCCCTTTTGGGGGAAAGACCCATCTTATCTTCTGAAGAGACTTAGCTGCTGAAACACTTCCTTTTTTAAGACCCATTTGTATTTGCTCTCCTGTCATGGGATGGAGAGGAAGGCTGATGACATGTGCCTGGCACTGTGTTAACTCCCTTACTGACTTCTCTCATTTAACTCACATGACAGGAAGTTCTGGGAGGTTAGGGAATTTGTTTTGTACATCATTGTATCTCTGTGCTTAGCATAGTACCTGGTACTTAGTAGATTCTCAATATTTATTAATTGTATAAATGGAAATGATTGAGAAAAATGAGACCTAGAGAAGTGAATTAAATTTTCCAAAGTTACCAGGCACTACAGAGACGAATTGAGATTCCCACTCAGATGTGACTGATTTCAGAATCTTCCCGTTTAACCACTGTTATGAATGAAATCGTGGCTCTCAAATGTGCTGTATTAGGTTCTATCAGCAAAGTAGAAACTACGTAAGTTATTTCAACAGCTAATTTCCTAAAAGAAATCAATATGATGGATATTGGAGGGCAGAATAAATCAACAGAGAACATGGGGCGGGGGCACAGGAAACAGCCACCATTCTCAGGGTTGGGAGAGCACAAGGAAGAAGCTGGGCTTATCACAACCCAGAAGCACAAGGAGGGCCTCAGAGCCAGAACCCAACCTGGAGGAGAGGGCACTGCCCTGCCAGTGCAGGTACCTCTCAGGAGGTGGGATGAGGTGGTTCTGGGACAAGCTGCTGCACCTACCTGGAGGCACACTGACAGGAACAGGACTGAGCAGGTCCTACCTCCCTGCTCCAGCATTGCAGGATCCCTCTAGCGCCCTGCTGGTGTGACACAGAGCCAGACAGCAAAGGAGAAGTGTGCTTGTAGAGTACCCCCCAGCCCCAGCAGCATGGAGCTGAGAAACCAGGGTGTAACAGAGGCACACGTGTTAGAAAGTTCTTGCTTACAAATGGACCTTTTCATTGGGATAATGGGCCTGTTTCCTATTTCCACAGGGTATAGGATCCTGATTAATCAGAGTTTCCAAGATGAACTCAAAGTACTGGAAATAATGTTCTACTAATAATTTTCATGAGATAGTTATTACCATCATATACTGAAATAGATAGATACAAACTCATGGGAAAGCCTTGTTCTGTGTGATCCAATAATAAAATCAATTAGCATTGCTACTTAATTATCAGCGTGTCAGACAGATGAGCATACCAAACAGAATGTTATGGGCAGAAGAAATTGAATTGGAAACAAAACCTGGGGCTGCTGAGATGTTTAGGCCTCTTAGTTTTAGGGCTGCCTGCCCACTTCAGTGGCTTGCCTCCTCCACTCACCCTCTACCTTTGCATTGCAGGTTCTTGATGATGGGAAAGGAGTCTGTGAATTTGGGCTAGCAGAAAGGATTTTGCTTGGCATTAAAAAAAAAAAGAGGGACAGCTTCTTATTTCCTCTCCGAAAATCACTGTCTTTCCTGGCCCTGATAGAGACCTTTTAAAGAAAGGCCTTGGTATGGACTGGGTGCAGATAGTCAGAACTCTGTATGCTCTATTAAGGAAACTCCAGGGCCACACACAGGCCCTGTGACCAATCTAATAGAACCTAAACTCCAAAGGTGAAGATGAAATATATATACATAGGGGGAGTGGTGGCTCGCACTGGTAATCCCAGCTACTCTGGAGGCCGAAGCGGGAGGCTCACTTGAGCCCAGAATTTGAGACCAGCCTAGGCAACATAGTGAGACCCCAACTCTAAAAAAATTTTTGTTTTAAATTAGCTGGGTGTAGTGGCATGCATCTACAGTTCTAGCTACTTGCGGGCAGGGCTGAGGCAGAAGGATTGCTTGAGCCCGGAGGTCGAGGCTGCAGTGAGCTATGATTGTATCACTGCACTCCAGCCTGGGTTACAGAGTGAGATCCTGTCTCTTAAAAAAAAAAAAAAAAGAAAGAAAGAAATCTGCATACACAAGAAGCCTCAGTGCTCAGTGCAGGGAGTCAGTAATGATAGAAAGAATAAAGGTTCAAAATTAGAGATCTGCACAGTGCCTTGCCAGTCTCTCTATACTTCAACCTTTCTCCGTAGGATGTTGGTCCAGCAGTGTGCCGTATGCTGTCATTGTGGTTTCCAGTCCCATCTCCTCCATTTCCTCCACTGTGGACATTTTTACTGCTAGCAAACCAGGTATCACCTACTATGTTTGCCCTACTTGGTTAACTCCAAGTGGCTGTGAGTAGGTGAGGGCCTAGGCCAGCAGGGATAGAAGAGCCATTACTGGAAAACCTTTCCATGTCAGAAAACCCCGAAGAGAGGGCAGCAGGGGAGACAGAACTTGTCTGTGCCATGGGGGGAAAAAGGGGAATCTGAGTGTTTGGAATCAGATAGGATTAATTCCTTACTCCTCTGATTGCTTCTTGTGTGACCTTGGGTGATTCACATGGTTTTTTTTGTATGAGTTTTCTCCTCTATAGATCTGTAGAATACAGATGACATTTGCCTTACAGAATTGATCTTATGATTGAAAATTTTCATGTACTTTATTTTTTTATTTTTAATTTTTTGTGGATACATAGTAGATGTGTGTATTTATGGGATACATGAAATATTTTGATACAGGCATGTAATGCTTAATAATCACATGAGGGTAAATGGGTTATCCATCACCTAAAGCAGTTATTCTTTCTTTGTGTCTCAGACAGTGCAATTTTACTCTTTTAGTTATTTTTAAATGTACAATAAATTATTGTTGCTGTAGTCACCCTGTTAGCTATCAAATACATCTTATTCATTCTAACTATATTTTCGTACCCATTATCATACCCCCCACCACTATCCTTGCTAGCTTCTGATAACCACCATTCTACTGTCTATCTCCATGAGTTCAATTATTTTAATTTTTAGTACAAGTAAGTGAGAATGCACAGTTTGTCTTTCTGTGCATGTCTTATTTCACTTAACGTAACGTCCTCCAGCTTCATCCGTGTTGTTGCAAATGACAGGATTTCATTCTTTTTTGTCTGAATAGTACTCCATTGTGTATATGTACCACAGTTTCTTTATCAATTTGTCTGTTGATGGACACTTAGGTTGCTTCCAAATC